TGAAAGTCGTTGGTAGGCATCATCTTTTTTGTGGTTTTTTTTGGGTCATGTAACTTGTAATTTAAGGGGAACTACAAGATTGGGAGCATTTAATCTCTCTCCAGGTGCCACTTAGCATCTCTCAAGTTTTGAATATGGAGCGGAGAGATGCTCGGTGGTATATCCTCTGCATTGTGATCTTCTGTAATTGAATTGATTCATTAAATTTCCTTTCCTAAGTTGGGGGGAAAAAAAAGCTGCATGGGGCAGGGACCCATTAGGGTCACCTCACACTTAAAAGTACACCCTCCTCTCAGAGTTTTGAGGGAAAGCACAGCCACTTAGGCTTGCATGACTCCCAAGGTAGAACCTCCTGTTATTTTGGAGTCTTTTATTCATTTTACAGTAAAACGGATTTCCAAGGAGTGTGTCCGAAAACCCAACAAGAAAATATGTAGGAAAGGAGGTATGTAATGTCAAGGTGTTTGGCAAGTCCATTCACCCGCTTGAAAGTTAAAGGGGGATGGGACCATCTTTTCCCCAAAGAAAAAAGTGGGTACATGATTGTTCCTCTTACTAGACAAAGTGGGTAAGAGTTGTACTGTAGTAGTTCCTGAAAGGCAGGAAGTAGACCCAGACACTGAACAGAAAGTGAAGGACTGAGCCTAACCCTAAGATACTCCCAATTGGAGATGGAACGAGGACATGACATGTAGGAGGAGTGTAGAAGGCCTGGCACAAGCCGGAATGTTTTAAAGGGCCAGCTGAGTATATACACTTTACCATGAACTAGAAAACCACTATCTTTAGAAGAAAAAGTGACGTCAAATGCAAATTTGAAGGAACAGTACACACTGTAAATAAAAAAGGTGAAGGTTCCCATGGTTCCCAGTCACATTTCACTGGACTGGCCCTGTCATGTTGAAAACGTTTAACTGCCCTTCCAAGAAAGCCGAGGAAGGCCCTTGGATAAGTAGCAAAACGTCGTCAACGTAACGGAACCTCATTAAATCCATCTAAGTACTATTACTAGGCATACTAAACATAATTCAATATATAAAGTCATAATACACATCCATGTCTTCATTAACACAGAGTACAAGTACACTCAGATAGACATTCACCTAATTGTTTTCTATCTGACAGGAATCATTCCTTTGTTAAAGGTCAGCAGATTTCACCTGTGTCTCATGTATAGCCTGATGTCCTCACCATAAACCTGCCGCACACATCAGTGACATCAGGTCACATAGGACTAATGTGTCAGGTTTGCTATCTGTGTGTCGCTTGGCTACTGTAGGGATCACAAGAGTCGCCAACTTTTATCAGGTCACTGTTATGGCAAATGCTGTGCGTTCAACCCTTGTGCAGATCAGATATTGTCCCTCTTCTTGTGAGGTCACAAGTGGCCGGATTATTATATACACCGAGTGGCCGGATTATTATATACACCGAGTGGCCGGATTATTATATACACCGAGTGGCCGGATTATTATATACACCGAGTGGCCGGATTATTATATACACAAATAATCCGGCCACTCAGTGTATATAATAATCCGGACACTCAGTGTATCACACAAGTGCAAATACTGAAATGTGCTTTAGCTTTGAGGTCTGGTACAAGCCAGCACAGGATGCAGGAGAGCTCTCATCTTCGTCATGACCGCGGGCCATGCTCCTGCATTGCTTTCCTGATGGGCATATGTGCCACAGGCAGTGTTCCTGCTGATACTCCACACAATAAAGCAAACACAAGGCTTCAATAAGCACTCATTTATTCGAATACCGTTTGGTCAATATACTCTTTCATGTCCGGTATCAGCGGTTGGCTACATGCACCCTTTAGATGCTTCAAGTCTTAGAATTCAACAATCACTTTGCTTCTGTTGATACCCAGACCTTTGTTCATCATACTGCTTCAGAAGAAAGCCGTTCATTTTAAACCATGAAATCTGTTCAGTTCATGTCAAATCATGATTTGCACTGCCCTGTTCTTGCTATTAGGAGATGGCCACATATACAGGCCAATCAGGTCATCCAAATACATTTCATACTGTATGGTCTTGAGACTACAAGTTTGTAGACAGCTGAGCACAACACCTACAGTATATGGTTCATAATTGGAATTCATATTCTAAATCCATGGCCATTATTATAGAGTTCCCCACGCACACCATGGCCATTAATATGGAGTTGCTCCCCCCCGATGGCCATCAATATGGAGTTGACCCTCGTGTGGCCATTAATATGGAGTTGCTCCCTATGATTGGATGAGAAGACCAGGCTCACAATCTGCATTCCAGTTCATCCCAAAGTTGTTCAGTAGGGTTGAGGTCAGTAGGGTTGAGGTCAGGGGTCTGTGCAGGACACTCGAATTCCTCCACCAAGCTGGTCACCCCATGTCTTTATGGAGCTGGCTTTGTACACAGGGGACAGTCATGGGTGGAGCAGAAAAGGGTCTTCACCAAACTGTGACCACAAGGCTGGAAGAGCACAAGTGCCTATAATGTCTTTGTGGCCCAATGACCATCACACCTATATGATCAAGTTGGATATCACATTCCAAAACCATGACCATTAATATAGAGATGCCCCCCATCACCATTAAAAGGGAGTTGCCCCCAAGGTGGATATAAGCATTCTTCACTCTTCTGGGAAGACTTTCCACAAGATTTTGGAGGGTGTCTGTGAATTTGTGCCATTTGTGAGGTCAGGTCCTGATGTTGGATGAGAAGACCGGGCTCACAATCAGCATTCCAATCCATCCCAAAAGTGTTCAGTAGGGTTGAGGTCAGGGCTCTGTGCAGGACACTAGAGTTCCTCCACACCAAACCGTGTCTTTGTGAAGCTGGATTTGTACACCTCAACTCAATAATTCCTGTGGTGTTCCATAGGGTTGAGATTGGGGCTTTGATGCAGAGGAACTTGAGTGGCCTTTACAGACTGGTCACACCATGTCTTTATGGAGCTGGCTTTGTACACAGGGGACAGTCATGGGGGGGACAGAAAAGGGTCTTCACCAAACTGTGACCACAAGGCTGGAAGAGCACAATTGTCTACAATGTCTTTGTATAGTGTAGTATTAACAGGACCTTCACTGGAGACACCTGAACGCCATCATTTGAAGGGGTTTAAAATCATCTTGTTGGTGATCAGTAGGGATGAGGTCGGGGCTCTGTGCAGGACACTCGAGTTCCTCCACCAAACTGGTCATACCATGTCTGTATGGAGCTGGCTTTGTGCACAGGGGACAGTCATGGTGGAACACAAAAACTGTGACCACAAGGCTTAAAGATCACAATTGTCTACAATGTCTTTGTATGTTGTAGTATTACCAGACCCTTCACTGGAGACACCGGGACTGGGGGGGACACGTTCTTTTGGCCATATGGTAGGTGTGATGGTCAGGTGTCCACATACTTTCTGCCTTACACATGAACAATCTTAGCAGTCCATGTTGGATCATTATATGATGTTTGGAGTGTCTGTGCACATTATTGGGTCGGTTGCCTGATATTCTCTGTAGTTTTGTATTGTAGGAGGTTAGGCTAACAGTAGGCACCTTTAAATCTGTTCTCGTATGCTGGTAAAGGACCCCGGCAGTTTTCGGTAACTTGGTCCCGATCAGAAGTCCTCAATTCAGTTTTTTTATGTTGTGTCTTTGCTGTTGAGTATTTGAAGCTATTGTCCAGTGTTTGTGTTGATGGTAGGACGTTCATAAAAGCTCTGCTACGTGTTCCCATCACCCGGCTTAGAGGACATCTTTGTATCCCTTCAAATAATCAAACCTTTTATACAACACATGATAATCGGCACCTGAACCCCGTCACTTTGAGGGAAGTGGTCATCTAGGGTAACTCAGGAACCAAAGAATGACTTCACTTATGTCAGTGCTGGGCCAGTCCCAGGAACCAGGTAGCAAACTTTGGCCATATAGGTAGGTGGGACAGGCAGGTTTCCAAAAACCTCAGGCCATGTAGGGTAAGTATAGTGTTTTTTGCACCATTTTTTTTAGGGTGTGTGTGGGGGAGGGGGGACAATGTAGGAGTTAGTTGTTGCAGACTGCCAGTCCCTCCGTAAGGTAGAAGTAAGTGATGAGTCTTCCAGGCCGGTCTCCTTTGGTTGGCAGTTATCGTTTCTATGTGATCTCTACAACAGGAGATGATGTCTCCGGTGTCAGGTATCTTCTATTGGGGTCCAGTAGAATAGATGGCGGATGATGACACGAGCCCTCATACACTGAGATTGCTGCTGCTGACTTGGGAGGAAAAGGCTTGAGAGATTTTTAGGGAATGCAGATTAAAGTGAGTTCCCTGGATCTTTATGGTAACCTATTAATTTTCGGTCACCGCCCATATCACTTATCAGTAACACGTGTACTGCTTAACAGTGCCAATGTCAGTGATGCCTGGCAGCACCCATAGGACTCCTCACTGCCACCCCAGTTTACATTTCACTGGTTAGTATTCCTTGGGGGAGATGAAGTTCCATGGTGCCTATGAAGGAGTTACTTGCAAATACACCGTACCTTCTACCAACATTCTCCTAACATTCACCGGGCAACATTTATAATGCACATTCGCCCAGCGTTAGCAGCGACGATTCTGTTTCCGGATATCTGCTCGTTAACGGGTGCCATACACCTTTTTATAAACGGGTGAATGGTACATTCCCTGCACATTCCCCGCACATTCACTAGAGACGTTTGAAAATAAAATGTGGCAGGTTGAGAGGGGTGAATCATTGCATTCCATAATGAATTCCTCCTCTCCTATTGCTGCGGGCAAAAAACAGAAACGTTCTTATCTTGTGTTAGAAATTGCCTCATGTAACTTTTGTTCTGATTTTAGTTTATCATCATGTGACCCCAATTCCTGGTGACATGTGATCCTGTTCCTGGTGACATGTGACCCCAATTCCTGGTGACATGTGACCCCTATTCCTAGTGACATGTGACCCCTATTCCTGGTGACATGTATGTGACCCCTATTCCTGGTGACATGTGACCCCTATTCCTAGTGACATGTGACCACTATTCCTAGTGACATGTGACCACTATTCCTGGTGACATGTATGTGACCCCTATTCCTGGTGACATGTGACCCCTATTCCTGGTGACATATAACCCCTATTCCTAGTGACATGTGACCACTATTCCTGGTGACATGTATGTGACACCTATTCCTGGTGACATGTGACCCCTATTCCTGGTGACATGTGACCCCAATTCCTGATGACATGTGGCCCCTATTCCTGGCGACATGTAACCCCTATTCCTGATGACATGTGACCCCTATTCCTGGTGACATGTGACCCCTATTCCTGGTGACGTGACCTACATCCTGATGACATGTGGCCCTATTCCTGGTGACATGTGGCCCTATTCCTGGTGACATGTGACCCTATTCCTAGTGACATGTGACCCAATTCCTGATGGCATGTGACCCTATTCCTGGTGACATGTGACCCCTATTCCTATTGACATGTGACCCCTATTCCTGGTGACATGTGACCCCAATTCCTGATGACATGTGACCCCATTCCTGGTGACGTGACCCAATTCCTGGTGACGTGACTCTATTCCTGTGTCATGTGACCCTATTCCTGTGTCATATGACCTCCTATTCCGCTCTGGGTCTCAGCAGGGCCAGAGCTGCGGGCAGGCAGATGCTGCAGTGGGGTCGCCACCTCTGGGTTAGTAGTTTTAGGTGTGAACATATGTTTGGGTCATCAATAACTGGTGTGACTCCGGTCATGTAAAATCTCCATCTCACCCAGATTTCCCCTCAAAGATTGAATGCATTGTTCAGAAGATCTACAAACGGCTATGACTAACTGCAGGAGAGGAGAACCCAGGAAGGACCTCATCAGTGTGCTGCTGCTTCTTTATTGTTCAGCCAGCAGGCTAAGGTTGGGACCTCGACCAAGCTGCATTACTTAAATTCAGTAGTCCACTATATGGCCAAATGTTGTATAAGCGCGACCATCACACTAATAAGAACTTGTTAGATATTTATGAATGGGAAGGCTTCCACAAGATTTTGAAGGGTTTCTGTGGGACTTTGTCCCATTTGTGATGTCAGGTACTGATGTTGGGTGAGAATGTTACAATTCATCCCAAAGGTGTCCAGTAGAGTTGAGGTTGGGGCTCTGTGCAGGACACTCGAGTTCCTCCACCAAACTGGTCACACCATGTCTTTATGGAGCTGGCTTTGTACACAGGGGACAGTCATGGGGGGAGTTTATCAACTGTGTCTTGCGTTGCTTGTGTGGAGCTCAACTCTATGTTCCCGCATGTACAGAAGGCATTGCCCCTCAGCTATGAACAAAGGATCAGAAAACGTCTTATGTGAGTGCTCTAAAGTGAGCATCCTTTCCCCGCCCCGTTCCAGATGCTAGCTCCTGTACAACAAATTCAAAAGTTGAGTTTCACCATCGATAGTGTGTTAACATTTTGGAAATTAGTACCTTGAAAGGACAATGCATGAAAATGAAAGGTCAGCTCAGGTTGGACCCCCCCACACACACACACACACACACACACACTGAAAATGAACCATTTCAAGAACAAAAATACCTACCTGAGGGAACGCATCCCCATAAGATTCAAGCACCCAGTTCTCCCAGTATGCGGCAGTGAGGCACAGGGATTTCAACGGTACCCGCAGGAAGTGTCCAGAAGCTGAAGTCTGATGTGAGTATTTTTTATTTTTAGTGGATTATTTTTTCATTTTTAGCAGCATAGGATAGACACGGTGAGATATTCTGAGGCACCATCTGCATTGAACATTCAGGTTTTATAGCATTGTATATAGTACTATACCTGATCTGGTTGAGCTAAGCTTTAAAATATTTTTCCCCATATGCACAGCAGCAAATATGAACAACCAAGATATATACGTCAGACCTCTTGGAAGTTTGCTGTAGAACTTTATTTAGTAGTATGTAGACCCCCCCTCCAAATGATGGGGTTCAGGTGTCTCCAGTGAAAGTTCTGGTAATTCATCATACAAAGACATGGTAGACAATTGGGCTCTTCCAGCCTTGTGGTCACAGTTTGGTGAAGACCCTTTTCTGTTCCACCATGACTGTCCCCTGTGTACAAAGCCAGCTCCATACAGACATGGTGTGACCAGTGTGGGGGAAGAACTCGAGTGTCCTGCACAGAGCCCCGACCTCAACCCTACTGAGCACCTTTAGAAAGGTGATTGTGAGTCCGGTCTTCTCAGCCAACATCAGCACCTGTGACAAATTCCCACAGACACCCTCCAAAACCTTGTGAAAAGCCTTCCCAGAAGAGTGGAGGATGCTATAGACACAAAGTGGGGCCAATGCTATATAATTGGACGATGTTGGGGGGGAGCTACTCCATATTAAAGACCATGGTTCTGGAATGTGAAGCCCAACATGCTCAGGTAGGTCTGATGGTCACAAACTGTTGGCCATGTAGTGTATCTTATTCACACAAATTATCGTTTTTGACCCAAAAAACTGCATGGCCACGCAACATAATGCCAACGGTACAAAGCACGGCGCGCTGGGCCCCTCTGAAGATACATGATCCAAACCATATAAAACATTCCCTATTTCTACATTCCCTACATTTGGCAGATGGCACAGAACCATATGAAGTCCATATGAACTAGGGTGCTGCAGGATATTGCAGTTAAGGTCCTTCACAGTATTACAAATCCTAATTCCCAGGTTCTGGTGAATTTTGCTCCATCCTTCAACACTGAGATACAGATACTCTTCCAGGTAGATACTTATATATTCCTTCTATATAGAGTATAGATACTACTTCACCCTCCATACACTGTCAGTACAAAGTGCAGTAGTCTTCAATGGTCGTTCAGTTCACTATCCTCGGAGGTTTCCCGTACTCTGGACCTCCTCCTTTCCAGAGCTCCCGCAGGAAGCAAGTGGCTATTAAAGTGTATCTAAAGGCAAAACTGTTTTTATCGTTTTGTATCGAGAAGTGAAAGGATTCAAATCTCCATCAATTGTCCCATTGAAGAGATTCAACAGGAAGTAAGAGAAATCCCCTCCAAACCAACACAAGTGGACATCCCATTGGAAGCCTTCACCTCTTTTTCTTTTTTTGGAGACAACTCAAACTCAATCTCTTCTAACTCTATAGGTTGGACTCGATGGTGTCTCTCTTCAACCTGACTGACTATGTAACTATGTGGATTTCCCATCCCTTTCAGCCCTGGTGACAACAGGATTTGTCTTCAGACGCTTTAAAGTCTACGTCCAGCCAAGATCTTTTTTTGGTTTTGATTGGAATGGAGGAGGATTAGAACCTCGGTCAAGGCTCTGTTAGAGAGATTTCCGCCAACGTCATGTCCTGTTGACAAAGGTCTCCCTGGACAGGAAATGAGGGGAACTCTTTGAGACCTGAGAAGTATTCTAACCCCCCCCCCCACCCCCCCCACCCCCCCAACACCTA